GAGAGGAGAGTGGAGAGAAGAGAGAGAGGAGGGAAGAGACAGGGAGGAGGGGAGAGAGAGAGAGAGATAAGAGAGAAGAGAAGGGAGAGGATAGAGGAGGGAAGCGAGACAGGAGAGGAGAGAAGAGAGAGCGGAGAAGAGAGAGGAGACGACTAGACGAAAAATGAAACCCTATCGTCTCAAATTCGTGTATGCTAGACCCGGAAACGTAAAGCCTACACCATACCTGGACCCAAAGCCTCCACTCTACCTTTAATCCTCTCCTATATGAACTATAGTCTAAACTCCTTAAAGGGGTTATATAGGGGATCATATAGGGGAGTACTATAGGGCTTATTAAGGGGGGTAGTAGGAATGTAGACTATAGCTCATATAGAGTGTAGGGTTTAGGGTCTGGTCGTTGCAGGGTTCAGGCTTTCTAGCAGAGCTGTCAGGGTGTATTTGGTCCGGTGCCGTGGCAGGTTGGGAGCCACCCGGTTAAGGTTTAGGGCTTAGGGTCTAGGGTTTAGTGTTTAGGGTTTACTATCATCCTGTTACTATATTGATATTGAATGGCGTCTTCATGAATGTGATCTCATTGTTGACCTTCTTCTTGTTATTATATGTTCTCGTTTTGATTTGTCTTCCTAATATTACTGCGAACATGATTGGTGTATGTTTCTTGTCAATACATTCATGTTACGGTGCTTCTGTTTTTATCTTCAGTATTCGTAGTATCATTGGTAGCATCATCATTCTGATATTCATGCTTTTGTTATGATTTGAGGTTCAAGGTCGTTTTGGAGGCCCGTACCAAGAGTGCTGTAGTGGTTTTGGGGAGCGCAGGGATCCTTATTCGACAAACGCTACGCCGTTGTTGCTACTAGGGGTGGCCCGTGGAGTTCATGAACAAACGACAGTAGCGTCTGAGGGGGCTGAGTTTGGATCCTATAACCAAAATGGAGCATCAGGGGCTCAGATAGTATCTCGCAGATTCGCCAGGAATTGCTCTGGTCTGATCCTCAAATCCTCAAATCCTCGCCTTAGTCCTAAACCCTAAACTCGAAACCTCACCCCCCGCAAAACTCAGACCCCGATCTGAGCCCGCCCCGAACCGACTGTAGCCATTAAGTGACAAATCGAAGCCCCTAGCCCTAAGCCTGAGATTTCTCAGCGAAGGTATCCTCTCACGAGGAACCATGGCAGTCAAAATGCAACAAAGCAACATTTGTTTAAGGGGAAACCTCATGATAAGAACCATGGGGAGACAGCAGGCAACAGTACGAACAATAACAATAACAACAGTAAGAACAATGATAAACGAAGAAACGAAACATGCTGGAGACGGCCGTGCTCTCGACTCATAACAGTGTCGATGGCGAAACAAGCACAGCACATGCGAGCTATCAAAACAAAGGTAGGGACGCGCCTACAAGGACATCACAGCCTCCCCCTTCTGCATTCTGGAAAGATAGTCCCAGAAACTCCCATTTGGCTGCAAATGACAAGATGACATGCTAGTATTCCTACATTAGACTTTAGGTGGACCCCCACCCAGTAATAGTGACTATAATAGGGATGATATTAGGGTCCTGTTATATTCTTATTATATCACTATTGCAGGGTGCGGGGTCCTCCTAAACTAGACTTGCAGTACTATAAAGACAATGATCCGATCAAATACTGTTGATATGGGCAACCACCCCCCCGCCCAAGAATCCTACAAAATAAATCTTAAGCTCCAAAACCCCTGAAATAGTTCGCTAAGCCGGCCCAAAATGTTAAGCTTTGAGCTTTAAACCCTAAACCCTAAAACGCGTGAGCTTTGGGACTCAGGGTTGCAACCCTCGATGGGTTTAGGGTTTCGGCTTTAGGCCCTGAACCCTAAACCTGGGGTCATTCCCCCTTACAGTAACTGTTACCACAATGGGTTATAGGAGCTATAAGAACCCCCTTTAATAAGGTCCCTTCAAGGACAGGGAGGGGGAATGACCCAACCTAAACCCGGGTTTAGGCACCTTCCTTGACAATGTTGTGACACGGGTCGCTCTCGCCTGTGCTCTCCGGCTTTGCCTCAGCGATAGCAGCAATTCATGCGGAGCGGTTTAGGGTTTAGGGTTCAGTGTTTTTGGATTCAGGGTTTTGGGTTTAGGGTTTTGGGTTTTAGGGGCCTGTCTGTAGGGTTTGTAACGAGTTTAGGGTATATAGTCCCCCTTAAGTAGATAGAATCTGGGCTTAATATTGGAGAATGGGAAATGAAATGGAAAGTACTATTTAGGGTTTAAGGTTTAGTACAGTGTTTATCTAAACCCTATACCCTATACTGTAATCCCTAAACCCTAAACCCTAATCCCTAAACCCTAAACCCTAATCCCTAACCCTAAACCCTATGTCTTGGGGCTCAGGGGTTTAAGGCTTCTGTTTGAGGGTCGGCTCGATGTTCAAGGCTGAAGGTGTAAGTTGTAAGCCCTTAAGGTCTTGGGTTGAAGGAGATTCATGGAATCTAAAGTTTAGGGTTTAGGGATGGGGGACAGGGTTTAAGGCTAGGATTGATCTACAGGTCTGAGACGAGTTCTGCACATTTTCCGGGAATTCGTCGAGCGTTGTCCGGGCATTGTTGCGGATTCCCTCCCTGTAGTAAAAAATTGCCGACGTTCCTACAATACTGAATACCCACAGTGTAATGCGATTATCAATTATGGAGAAGACTTTTTCGGGGTGATGTTTGTCTGGGGGGGATGTGACTACTCACTGCATTCGTAAGCATACGACCAACCCCAACCCTCCAGATGGTATGAGGTAACATCGGGGCACGATAAGTGGTACGAAGTAGGTGGAGGCCTCTACTGGGCAGAGTTGATTGTATGGGGCAAGAAGACACAATTTCGTAGTTGCGGCTTAGGGCTTTGGCTTTGAGCTGAGAAGCCAACAGAAACGAAATGGAAGTCGGGGCCTAAAGAGAGGTCAGCAGGGATCTTTGCCAATATCATGGTTCTAGAATCCTTGTCTTACCATGGCAGAGGGTGGTATTGGTATCTATTAAGGCAATGGTGCAACGCTGGGGAGTTCTCCGAGCCGGTGCCCCTCAAAACAAGCTGATATGCGTATTGTGCTTGTACAAAGCCAGAACATTTGCCCTCTGAGAGCTGTTATTGTTGAATCATCCGTTAGATCCCTGCTAGTCCTTCATGTTTGCAGGTCACATTTCCATGTGATTCTGCGTCATCCCTAATCCATAAACGCAAACCTGCATTAAACTACCCTGAACCCGGAATTGCTGAAATACCTGTGTACTTGTAGTCTTTTCGGGAGGTCCCTCCCAAACGACCCCAGCAACGGACACTTTGCATCCTTTACCCAGCGACTCGCTCGAGGGATTGGGGTCTCAGGAATCGTGATTAGGGTTCAGCAGACGAGGGATATATGGGTGCTTCTATAAAAGGGGGCCCCTCAAAACAAAAGCTAGGGATGTGCGGGGATTGTGAGGGTGTTCTGGCGGTCAATATTAGTAGTAGGGAATCCCACCAGGTAAATGACCCATGGTTACCCTGAAACGACTCGTGGCCACAAGAACACTGTTTTTACAGTCATGGGAACATGAGCTATAGTCTAAACTCTTAGTATCCGCCTTAATAAGCCCTATAATACCCCCCCATATAATCCCCTATACATATATATATATACCGTTTTAAGGAGTTTAGACTATAGCTCACATGGAGACCTGTAGTTGTGGAGGCCACAGAGAGACTTAAGCTCCAGGGCTACAGTCGAGAACGGCTAAGGGTTTAGGGTTTAGGGTTTAGGGTGGCCCTTTCAGAATTCCTGATAGGGCCCGCACAAGGGCATGATCATGGTCTGCGAACGAACCGTCCACCACATTTTCGAACAGCGATTGGCCTGGAAATGCATTAAACCAAATTGAATCCGTGATGCCTTTGGGCTGAGGACTTTGTAACTTCCCTCGCGGGGCATGAGATTCAACGTCTGAAGTTTAGGGTTGGAGGGTTCTTTAAAGCACTAGGCGTTTAAGCTCCTGCTGGAAAATCATCCAGTCTTTTGAAAAGATCCGCATTATCACGGCAATCTATGGTTCAATTACGGATGTCTCAGAAATCCCAGGAGCTGCCGAATGGTTTGTTTTGAGGAAAGCTGTCCACGGCAACATCGACACCTACAGCAACACCAGCACTGGCACAGCGACGATCACGAGCACGGAGCAAAATGGCAAAGGCGACCACAGGAACGACCACCGATGATGCCGCCGACCACTGTAATGACAACAGCGACTACCATAACCTCTAAAAAATCCCAGATGCTATGGTCAACAGCCAGAACTGTCAAGGTTGCGGTGAAGGCGACAAGGGCGTTGACTCTCAGTATAAACATGGTTTAGGGTGTAGGTTTCCTGCTTTTTGCGGCCCTATTTGTCACAATTCAGATTTCAGCAGTCACTGAAGCATGATGATGAAGCACGCATAGTAACGTTACCAAACGCCCATGCTGTTCATCCTGCCATAACAGGACTCGCTGTCAGAACATGATGATGGCGATGATGATACTACTGATGATAGGCTGACACGGGCATCAAGTTCTGGGTCATCGTTAAGCAGCTATACATCCATTCTAACGGAGGAAAAACTATAATTATGGGTTGAAGGTTTCAATACTAGAGAGAGAGGGGTTATCCAAACAGGGAGCCAGATTTGGATCAGCCTTTCATCAGTGTCGGTTGATTTCTGAACGAACCGCGGAAAGTGGCTCAGCGCGTCCCAGGTAGCCACTCTGCAACACACGGGACATGTAGCCGTATATGAGCTATACTCTAAACTCCTGGTATCTAGAACAATGAATTGCTACAAATAAGAGACTTTCAAAATTGCCTCGTCAAGACTTGGGCTTGTCCCTATGTAGACTGGGTCAAGCACAGGAGGTGGCAATGCTGCCCCAACATATCGTCTACATCATCTCCCAAAGTTCCAGGTCTCTAGACCCAACACAAGGACAGCACATGTTCAGACATGCGCGTTTGGAAAACCGAATCCGAAAACTGGCTTAGAACTTACGCTTGAAGCTTTCAGGTCTAGCCTAGACTCTAAGCCCTTAATCCCATAGATTGCAAGCTCTGACGTAAACGGCTTGCCCCCCTCCGCTGCCTTCGTTGGTTGACGGAGTTGTGGTTGAGCTTCCTGACTTCCTTTTTACGGCGCTCAACTCTGCCTCAGCCAGGCGAACTTAGCTGTATCAGCTGTAGTAAGGATGACGAAAGTAAGAACAATACCAGTAGCAATGAAAAAGTTATGATAGCAATCGTATAAAAGTTATATCATTAGGAGTAGTAGCAGCAATAGCAATTATATTCTTAGTCATGTAATGGTTTTTTGGAAGGTGGAAAAAGCTCGGCGTCTGGGATTTGAGAAGGCAAGAACACGAGTTAACTCACAAGGGACCAGGAAAAAGAAGAGCAGAAGAGAACAGCGGGGAAGTTCACGGGAGATGCTATGTGCTGTACGTAGCACAACAAACAACAGCAACAACAAAAAGCACAATAATAACAGTAATTGTAATGATACTTGGAAGGCGGAACCGTGTCTCTTCAGCCTGTCCAATCTGAATCTTAAGCGTTGAGGCCGAAAACCCAGGACCTGATCATAAAGTCTCGGATACCCAGAAGCTAAAGTCCCTAACCCCTTGAAAACCCTGAAACCAAATTCAAGCCTAATCCGAAGTCCTATACACAAAATCCCTGATGCATATCTCAAACCCCCCGAATGCTACACCACACTGCAAGGCCCAGTCGCCGAACTTGGTGTAATTGCCGCAGAAGGCGTTTTTGCTTCAACTTCCAAGAGCATTGAGGGGAGTTCCACGGGGGGCTAGAATCCCCCTTAAGTAGATAGAATATGGAATATATGGGGATCTTAATGTAATATACCCAAAGCAATATTCGGTCTACTAAGCGGGACTATAAGGGTGCGTCAGGGAGTTTCATTGGATAAGCGTAAGCTTCCAGCATCTTAGCTTACGTGCTGCAGGTCCCTGAACCACAAATCCTAAACCTGAAAGCCTCCATGTTTTAGCTGCGTATGCTTTGTTAGGGTCGTCTTCATATGAAAGAACTTCCAACAGCTTGCTCAAGCCTTGAGGCTATGGCCTCCGGGCCTGTAAGCAAGACATTCCCCCACCTTTGTGAGGTTCCGCATAATATGGCCCAGCGTATTTGGGGGTCTACTTTGGGATCCCCCTCTCTATCCCCTGCCTCTGTGGGGGTCCGAATGCTGCGGACTATCGTACTGGGTAGAAACGGGTGTAAGGGTTCAGGGTTGATGGAAATAGAAATTGTAGTGGGTTCATATCCTGAGCTTTGGGCGAAATTTTGGGTGTTTTCTGGGTTTGAGGGTTTAAGGTTTAGGGCTATCCGTTTTTAGCGGTTTAGGTTTCATGCAATGCACAAGGGTTTTAGGTGGAGCTTTTAGGGTTAAAGGCCTACACCACAAACCTAGAGTTTGTGGTTCAGGGAAAGCACCATTAAAGGACCGTAGCAGTCTACCACACAAATTTTATCTTAAGCTGAATCATTGTCACGCTCAATCCTAAAGCCTCAACACAAACACAGATATTCTCTGCGCCACAGCCCTCTGCCCTAATCATTGACTCTTGAACCTTTCGTGGCGGGTGTCCTTAAGATAGGGAACGCTTCACAGAGACTGGGCAAGCAGCAAGCATGTAGAGCTGACCTAGCAGTAATAAAGAGCTGGCAATGCAATGCTCCCACCAGGGCAGAGAAATCCGAAGACAACTTTTGCTTTCTTACAAGTCTGGAGCCCGAAAACCCATAAACAAGTTCGCTTGGGAATAAAAACAGATTTGCAACTACACATCTCCGCGCCCAGAAATATCCTGATTGCAATCGATCTCTACTGCTTGTACTACCAGTACTACTACCGTCCTATCAGCTGTACTATTTGATCCTGCCTCCATGCCCCTGGTTCATTGCTCTAGAAACCTCTTTTGCAGACCTATTTGCTCTGGCGACTCCCCCCCACCCCTCCCCCCCCTGCCTTTTCAGCGTACCTATAAGAAGGCGAACTCCTTCACTAAGCCTGATGGACTAAGCCCAGCCAACCCCCTGCATGAATGCTGCAACATGCATGCAACAAACAGTCTGAAGTGAGGCTTGCCTCCATTACTCTCTCGACCCTAAACCCCACGTGTCAACTACATGCCATGACCTATCCGTGTGCTCCGCGCCCCGCCAGCCGAGGCGGGCGCGCGATAGCATTTACAATTAGGGTTTCAGGGAATGAGGGGTTGTGGGATCTGGGTTTTTGGGCCTCAGGGTTATGTAGGGGGTATATAGGAATAATGGAAAAGAAATGGAAGCTACTATTCCAGGTTTAGGGTTTAGGATGCCCGGATCCATGATATGATTGAAGGTGAATTCCTTTATGAATGGGCGCACGGCTTGCCGGACCTCCTTTACAGGGCAGCAATTGCCCACTGTCAACGGACTGCAAAACGCCTCTAGACCTCCAAGCCCTGGATCCTAAACCCTACACCCCAAAAAACTCTAAAACCCGAAGGCCCTGCCTTGCCTCAAGCAACCCTAAACCCCTAAATCCTATACATCCCCACAGATCCCTTCAAAGGGGTGTTTGCCTAAATGCTAGACACTCTGCGTGACCGACCTGGAGTTTCTTCAGCAGGTTTCAAGGGCTTCTTGCCTTTCAAGAGGGTTCAGGGTTTAGGGTTTAAACCAATCCTAAATCCTAATCTCACAGGTGTTTGGGTTGCTGTATGTTGTTTGGAAGGTGCTTGGACGGTCAGGGGACTTGGCAAGTAGGTTGATGATAGGGATAACTGGGGATACTACCTGGCTTAGAGGGGTAATATGTATACTTACTGAGCCCCGTGACCCTCCAAGTAGCCTTCAGGGTTAAGGAGTGTTAGTAACTAGCTATGACCAGGTGACAACCGTGCACTGCTCTTTCCTTGGAAAATGGGTACATTGCTTTCTCTAGGTACCCCCTGAACCCGAAACCCTAAACCCTAAACCCTATGGATTGCAACCGAGTTGTAAGTTGTTGCCAGGTTCCATGAACCTCCAAGAAGGCCCACAACTTATGGTCACAAGGAATGTTGCTGTTATAGCAGCATATGAGGTGAGGGACCACGCCAATCTTCAGCGATGGGGTTTAAGGTTCTGTGTGTTAAGGTGGGATTCTCAAAAACATCCTAAGTTCTAAACCCCAGATACTAAACCCTAAATCCTAAATCCTACACCCCACATCCTACACCCCAAAATGTAGGGATGAGGGCTTTGTGGCGCAGGGCTTCAAACTAGGTTCGAAATATTTAGTTTTCTGGTTGAAGGTTAAGCTGGGTACCTACGACTTAAGATTGAGAGACTTTTAAGCTCTTTTGCAATGGTGCGGGGAAAAGACAGAAAGGTAGCTGAAGTTCATACACGCTGAAGGGTTCAGGGTGCTTGCCTGGCTGCTTCCTTGCACCAGGCAAAAGTTTATAGTCAAAATCCTCCATAACGTTAGCATACTGTGTTGCCAAATTCCGACGGTGTAATGATAGTTTGCTGTTAATCCCTGCCTATATGTTCCATATCATCTCTATATACCCCTATTCGTGAAAACTACCGCTCCTCTAGACCCGAAATTCCAAGTGCTGATGCGGGCCGGTTGGAAGTGCATGGTGTCGTGGCGTGGCGCTTAAGGGTCCAGGGGTTTTCAGGGTCCTGGATTTGGCTTGCAGTGTCCACTCACCTGTTCATCAAGATGATCAGCCAAAACTCCATACTCTTCCAAAAGGCCCAAATCCTTTCCATCTGATAAAAGTTCTGCCCCTAATATTAAATATCAAGTTCAGGG